ACAATTCGCAGAAGTCTATTGCTTTTACTAATTTTAAAACGTTTCAAGGTGGACAGATGAAGATCCAGGAAATGGTACGGCCCTCGAAGAGTCCTTTTATCCTGGTAAATCCTCCAGAAATGAAGGATGCCCAAATTTTAAAGCCAGTAACGAGCAATGCAAATATGGTAAAATTAGAAGACAGTTCTACCCGTGAAGAAACCTTGGGCGAACTACCATCAGTGTTCAAGAATGATTTTAACGAGGAATTAGCCGTGAAAGGGGCCCCGAAGCGAGGGAATAAAGTAGAATTCACTGTGAAACAGTACTTCGTGGATAACGTGCACCAGAACAAGGTTCAAGTGGGAAAAGAATTGAATTCTAGCGAAAAAAAATTACGCTACGATACTTCTGGCAAAGAATTAAACGTAAAAACAATTTCTGAAGGCTTGAATAAGACCTGGTGCACCAGTGAGGCTGCAGAAATAGCAAAGATCCTCTCAGAGTACAACAAGAGCACTTTAAAAAAACCAGCTATAGAAAATCAGAAGTTTTGCACCAGCATGAAGAATATCAGGGTTAAAAAACTATTGAATAAAGAGGAAAATGTGAAGCAGAATGTTCAAAAGAGTCCTGTAGATAGAAACAAGAACATAACTTTCCCACAAGGAAAATGGCGGCGCTTCCACTTGACTGTGGAGAAGCTGAAGGACATGAAGAGCAATTCGAACGATAAAAGACTGCCTTCGGGTGTTCAGAACAGGCAATCTTTGTTCAAAATTGATCAAACATCGGTGGATAACTTGTCTGATAGAAAAGTTGAAGTTTCAAAGCAATTGGACATGGTTCAAAGAGCACAACCAAGCATAATAAGCTTAGAGAAGAAGGGAACAACTTCAACAATGAATAGTGATGTAAATGCAGCAATGGTAAAGACACAATCTTTGCAAGAACTATTGGAGAACACAGCCATGTTATACTGTGCAGCCACTGGCGCTCATCAAGACGATCTAGCCAACTATGTTGACACTTTGGATGCTGTACAGAGCATACAGTGGTTGGACACTTGCAACAATTATATTGTATGATCTTTTCTATCATTCATACTTATATTGCAAGCTTTAAGTTTGTGATAAAGCTCCAACCACTTTGTGTTTTATAGATTTTAATCATCTTCCAGAAAAAACGTTTAATTCCATGTGTACACAGATTTTTCTTTTGCAATCGTTCAAGTTTGTATTTTAGTTTGATCATCGAAGAGGAGTGAGTTGAAGGAGCAAGGAAGATATTTTCGTTCCTTTATTAAACAAAGCTTGAAATAGTAATGTGTAGTACAAATATTACTAAGTGATCATCGTTTACATACTGTATTATGTAAAGCTACGTTTAAAGACTGGAACCATATTAAAATAACTCTTAATCTTTAAACTAGTATTTTAGTTTAGGTTACTCCGGTGCTCAATTTATATAAGTAGTATGATCTTGTGCATGATCTTTTTAACTCTTTGCATTCCAATTTAGTTTATTTACAATTATAATTTGAAGAAGATAAAGTGTAATTACAAAATCAGAAAAATTTATCGGTATTTTGATTTATAGAATAATTAAAGTGCAAAGAGTTAATTAATTACGGGTTTCCTTCATTCTGGTAGTCAACACCATGCCATTATTGATCCCAGCATGTATGAAAAGTACACAAATCACGAGGATCGCAAAATAGACGAACAAGAGCGCGATTATACCGAGACTTCGTTGTCAGTCTCTGTTTTGCCTTCGTTTTCGATGAGTGTACCTGTGAGAAAAAAACTTCTAAAATTGTTGATATCTAATAGAGTACAAAATATAGAACTATGCTAGACAAGAGTCTATAAAATCGGTTACAGATAAAAGGAATATTTTTTTTAGCAGAATTTTCTATTTAAGTAAAAGCTGTTTAATATTTTATCTAATAAATGGTTTTCAAATCCAATGAACACCATTGTTTTTATTCAGTAATTAATTTTAGGTCTTCTATTAAGTTGTAAAGTGATCGCAAGATGTGACGTTAAAATTGTTTATTTATTTTGACACTGTATTTATTTAATTTATTCACCTTTTCCTCTCAGATTCCAATTCACTTTCTTCACTATTCGTCTTATCAGCTACTTCTTCAATGGTCGATTCTTCTTCACTGTCATCTTTACTCTTTCTCCTCTTTCTAGAATCGTCGTTTCTAGTTTTCATCTTAATACTCTCGGAAAATTTCTTATCCCCCTTTTTCGATGATTTTCTGTCCAATTTTCTTCTACGTTTTTCCTCATCGCTGGAAACTTCGATTTGGTACTCCGCTCTGCGTGAAGACTTTTTTCTGTTTTCAATTCGTTGAGATTTTCCATGTTTCCCAGAATTTCTGGAGCTTGAGGTAGAGTATCCAGTGTCTTGACGCTTTTTTCTGTAAAATCGAATATGGTTAACGTTTCTTGGAGAGGAATCGAATTTATCGACTTCTTCCGTGGTTTCTTCACTATCTGAGTAATTAGCCTCCACGTCTCTTCTTTTCTTCCTTCTTCTTTCCTCAGAAACTTTTCTATTTCTCGTATCTTTGTAAATATCTTCCCTCGAAATAATACTGATACTCGATATTTCAGGTTTCTTCTTTTTCTTGCTCTTGTTCTCTGTCTGTACCACGTACAGTCGGTAAAGCTGCAGCAGTATCACCAGAGTATTCTTACAGGTGAAGAATATATTCATGTAGCTGACTATGCGATAATGGATGATTAAAATCAGCCTGAACGCGAGAAATGGCCCATCCTGTAATATTTTACGAGAAATACTATTTTCAAAAATTTTTAAAAGGTATAACTAATTTTAATTACGTTAAAAATTCAGGAAATTTAGTTTTCTCTAATTTATAAGTGAAACATATTTATTGCACAGACGACGTACAGGATAGACCTTGCATCTTATGGGACTTTTTGTCCGGGGCTTTAGAGCCGAGAAGATCCTTCCATTTTCGTGTCGCTACCAATGTTACCGTTCAGTTTGGAATAAGATTACAACATTAGTAATGGTTGGAATTGAAATTAAACGTAATTATGAAATTACAAATAAGAAAGTAGCGTAATTGTCTATTAGTAGATGATTCATTACATGCGCGTGTTCTACTGCTGTCAGAAGGTTGTAAACAATTCTACCCACACAATCCAGTATATGTACGTATCTTTATATGCAAATTTAATAAAAGAGGATTTTTTACATCAGTCGATATTACAAACTTTGATGGTTGGATTGTATGTAATTCCTAAACTCACCGCTTTATATTGTAGAGGACATAACAAAAACTCTGATTTTTTACACGATCGGAATTTCAGAACTTTGGACACAAAAATACATTAGGTGCAAGGTCTATCCTGTACCTTGTCTGGGTATACAAGTTAAAATTTAGTAGGATCATTAAAAGTTTTTTAAAAGGAAGAACATCTCTGTTGGTAAAGCAGACCTGCAGAACCATGTTCAAAGCAATCCCCCATACATCGATGCTACAACAACTGGTCTCCGTGTGTACTCTCCTTTTTACTGCGCTTCCGGAAGACAGCCTTGACTTCCTAGACTTAGTGGCTGTCAGGACAACCGTGAATTGCATCAGAGACCACGCCCATATACCTAAAGTCAAATATACCAACACAGGTTCACGTGCAATACGATCTTCTTTAAAGGAATCAAAGAATTCTATAATATCTGCAGCTGTTCCAATGTAGACCAATAATAATTGGCTCAGTTGGTCCCGGGTTAGATCTCCCTTCGGCAACATCCACCTTCCAATTATCAGAATCAGCATTAAAAATTGTTCAATTAAAGTCACCCAGGTTTCTGTGGATATTTGTATGTTAGGTAGATGTATGTTCACCTGAACAAAGTATTAAAATATATTTGTTAATTTTTTGAAGAATTTATGATTATTTTGTATGCCGAGCAGAATTGAAATTGAACCTACACCCAGTGCTTTTTCCAACTGTTTTAAGTCTTCAGCAGCAAGATTTTTTAAATCAAAGTCCTCTGATATGTTCATGTTAGTTTCAAAAGCTTTCAGCCTTCTGTCTACCTTATCCAATTCCAAAAGCCATATTGCAGGAACTACACTGCTGAGATATAAGAAAACTGAAGGACAAAACCTGTAAAATGTAGAAAAATTTACATTTTACTTCGTCGGTAAGTTATAACAATTAAAATTTCATTTTTAAATGTTGAAGATTGGTATTCTCTTTTTTTTTTAATTTAATGCATTGATTTTGTTTCTATGAATAGCCACAAATGTGTTTTTGATGAATGTCTGTTCCAATCGATCAAATGATATGAATGGAAAAGGAGATTAGAAAAAGGGGTCACTGTTACGTGGCCCTGTCTGTATCTGTCGATAATTTTCGACGTATAGTGGATTGTGTCTCATCCCGCTCCTCTTACTAATGCTTCAATATCCGACTGTCAAATTGAGACGGACTCACAAAAACACACCCCTTCCTTGCTGAAGAAAAATAGGCTTGTTTTATCACGTAGATTTCTCCGCATAAAAACTTGCTGTTTTGAACATGTTTTTTACAAGTATTATTTCTTGTTTTTTAATTTTTATTTTTTTATATTCTCTAATAACTTTAAAAAATTTCAGAAAAAATGAATTACAGTTACTTACCACTTCCACTCTTGATTTTCTTTTATGGTGAGCGTAAATATGCCTTCAAAAAACAGTAACAAAATCGGACAGCTCAGGTACCAAAACAGAGGGTTCTTTTTAAATGTAGTAACTTGCCAAATAGCAATGAAACTGTGAGACGCGAAAACCAGGCGTGTAATTATTGCTTTAATTGTCGCCAAAAATTTTGCCATGATCACAAATCACTTTATTTTACAATTTATTATTCAACCACTTAATAAATAATATTTGTATTATAAACTTTATAATCACACTCTCTACTGATGTTTAAAAATAGAAAAGTAATGGAAATGTAAGTTTTTAACAACTTTTGCTTGAGCACTACATTTTTTGTTGAATTATGCAATTTGTTTATGCAATCAGTTTAGCAGCTCAGCAAAAGCACACTGTATCAGGACTGAAATAAAGGTACAAGGGTTCCAGAGGGTTTGGATTTCAAACAGTCATGCGCATGCGCTATCGAGGTGGTACATTTATACACAACATGTGTCTGTTGAAAGAATAATTAATTGTATTTTTAAAACATATATCTTACTATTTTTTTTCAACAATAAGGTGAATATTGTTACTATTTGTTTTTTGACTTTATATTTAATAATTCTACTTTTTACTATGTAATTATACTTTTAATCCACTTATAAATATTATACAATTCTCTTTTAGAATCCAGACTGATTTTACACATAACTATTGCACGTTAATACAAAACTTTACAATTGTATACATTGATATTTTACAAATCTATAAAACTTAAATACGTTTTAAATGCGCTATTCTCCGTTACAAATGATTGCAACTGCAGTGGTCATTGCCTATGAAAAAGTAGATGTTAGATTGTCATCAGAAAGTAATACAAACGAAGATTTATCACCCTATAACAAAAATTTACTAACCCACTTGCTTATTTTTCACATAAATTTACTTGTATTATGAGTTCAAGTCGATTTTTACAAAATTAAAAACTACGAAAAAAGTTCCTCCCTTTTCATATATGATATACTGTTCGCGACGCTGCGCTAGATCGCCACTTTTAATTCTTAACCACGGTGCAAGATCGTCACGCATGCGCCTTGGTTACCGCCGCCCATAGTAGGATTCGAATCTTTTAAGGGTAAGCAAGCTTTTACTCTTATCCGATAAAAATTACATTTTTACACTATACTTTATTGCATAGTTGCAATAAATACGTAATAAATAAATTTTCAATATTACTTCTTCACATTTAATCTAAATACCAGGAGGATACCATAAATATAAATATAACTTGTACTGTTCGGCAAAGCGAACTTGAGGTTTCTGACGTCATCGCCTCACCAAATAAGCGGAAAATAGGCAGTCAATCTAAATTCGGGACCGAAGCTTATTAATGAAGATGAATTATCCAAAGCGATATATTATGAAATTAAATTAATCACTCAATAAGTATTAACATTAGATTGTTTCCTCGATATGGCAATGGTGGTCATCAGTGACTGGAGTGCCTCAAATGTTTAGAATAATAAAAATAAAACAAATGTTGTCAACTAAAAATTTTGACCGTCATAGGTAGCTAAACATTATTTTCAATTGAAAAAAAAAAAATTATAAAGCATAATACTATAACCCTATCCTTAAAATGTATTTTCTTGTGGCCGCCTGACAGGAACCTGTAAATCTGGCGTAACAGTGAACGTGTTAATAAGTAAATGTTGTTCAAATTATATCGTGTTTGATATCATTTTCATCAGAAAAATTTTATCTTGAAATTTTTCTTAACATATTGATGAGATTTTTCTGATGAAAATGACATCAAACACGACATAATTTGAACAACATGTCACGCCAGACAGTGAACGTGTTAATAAGTAAATGTTGTTCAAATTATATCGTGTTTGATATCATTTTCATCAGAAAAATCTCACCAACATGTTAAAAAAAATTTCAGATGAAAAAAAGTAAAATTAAAGAAATGATATTTTTCTATTATGATTTGTCGAACCGTGAAATCTCGTAAAGGAAACCGACTGGTGTAGCGTTACACGCTTGACTAACTGTGAGCGAGATAACATGGGCGCAACAATGACGCAGACCTAGGCGTAGGACCATCTATACTGTCACTAGTAGAATCCAAACTTACTGACTATTGTAGAGAATTTACTGTACTCGAAACACTGCGTCTCACCGAGATTCAAAGGGAATCTCCTAATTCTTACTCATGCGCTCAGGTTGCTCGAGCATCACGTGGTGACGTAGATAATTGGCGGCAAGAGCCGAACAGGCTTCGCACATGCAGAGCTACCGCTACACTTGTGTGAGAGCATAAGGACGGTATAGTGGGAGACAGCAGTAGGGCATAGTGGAGGTAACTGCTTTCGCCCACGGCCCACGATTCTGGCATCACTGTTTTGGAGTCCCCGTAACGTAAGACAAAAGAATGTTAGGCGATAGATGAAACTTTAAAATTAAAAATAATAATTATATTTAGTGGCAAACAGAAATGCAACGTCTTCAGTTTTCATCATCATTAATATTAATACTACAGAGGATATAAAGTAGGGAATGTTATGCCATTCAATGTAAAAATATATTCATAATTTCAATTATTTATAGGTTACATGAAAGAATAATGATATGTACAATAATATGCAACGTGACTGTTTTATATAAATATTTCACACTTTAGTAGACCAAAACAATGCCTTATGGATGCCTTTATCTCGTTTTAATACGGCAGTATACGAATAAATAAACTAAACGTCTGTCAGGGGAAACTGATTTGAAGATCCACTGACAATCCTTCTTGTGAGTTAGGTCTAATATTATTCAGTATCCCTTTATCAATTATGCCTAACAATCGTATCAGTCTGCGATCAATGAATATACTCGTCATCCTGTAAACCAATCGATATACTCATGCAAATTTGCACTTATTTGCATAATATAAATTAGGCTGTATCCGGTAGAAACGGGTCATAGTCCACCACTCGGGAGAGATCAAAGTAATAGTATGTATTTTAATTGAATTCAAGAGTTATTTCACTCAAGAAAACTCCTATTCATGAATACACACTTGTTATGTACCCTGACAGGAAGAATAAATTGGTCAATATTTAAGAGAGATCCTTCTAGATTATCCTTGCATTTCCTGTTATCAGTCATTTTACAGCTTTAACTTGAATTGGTCTGGGATGCATATGTTTGGCCTAGAATACCTAAATATGCTGTCCACTAATGTCCTGCTTTCAATGTGTTCAATAAAGGCTTATGAAAATAGATCCATTCAGATAATTAATATTCTGTAATATTAAAGTCATTTATTTACTCTGAATATATATCGTGTATCAATGTAGCAAAAAAGAACAATAACAAAAACAAAAAAAAAGATCGTATTGATTACTAACTATTTATAAAATTAAATTCTCACGCATACGAATAACATCTAATCAGGTCTCCAAAAGTCTAAACATTATAATCTTCACTGGTATCCATAGATTTTAAATCCCTCTGTTTCAATTTAACATATTCTCCCCTTATAGGCATATTTGGATCCATTGAAACTGCATTTGCAAATCCATGTTCTGACAAATATAAATTGGCTTTGATCAATGATGCTTCAGTTGTACCACTTTTAGATAAGTTTTCGCTTAATGTTTCTTGATTTAACTTATTTGCCAAATTTTCCTCCATATGTTCGTTTTGTTTGGAACATTTCTCGTGATTATCTTTAACGGTGAAATTTTTTATTAGATATTCAGCTTTTTCGTCCAAAATATCACTTGTAAGTTTGTCACTGATTTTTTCTGTTTTCATATTAATTTCTCGTTTTTCACGTTCATGATTTTCCAAAATATCTCTACGAATTGCTTGAACGTTTTCCTCGGATTTATTTACGATTGGCATAAAAGTATTCTCCATATTTGTTTGATTTCGCATTTTTAATGCAATTGGTAGAAAATATTCATGTTGTACTTTTTCAACCTTCAAATTTGACTTTTCTTGTAAGTTGTTAGAATTATCTTTATTTTCATGTATGGTTTCATCATTTTCATTAACAGAAATAGATTTCTGTGATACTCGTTTTGTCAATGCATTCAAAATCGGACCTTTGATTAACACCTTCGAATTATTCGATCTGATCTCTATTTCCTTACTTCGTTCATCATTTATTTTATTATCGGATAGCATTTTATCGTTTACATCTTTGGTAGAAAAAGAACTTCTATTAGTATCCATTTGAATATTTTGTTCCTTATTTATATTTTCATTATTAGAAGGAACGGAATTAACAGCTTTATCACTCTTACTTTCTTTACGTTTCTTTAAATATTCCTTTTCGCTATTACTATCCAAGTTTGTGAAATTATCATTTACTTGTGCGACAGATTTGTCATTAAGAACTTTTTGTTTCTCTTCATTTTCTTTAAGTTCTTGTGTATCTTTCACGATCTTTTGCTTTTGCCTTTCAATTTCTTCTTTTTGTTCCTTTAAATCTTTCAATATTTCTTTTTGTTCCTCCATCATTTGCAGTTGTTCTTGTTTATGTTTCTCTAAAGTCTTTCTAAGTTTTTCATGTCTTTCTACTGTTAGTATATTAGCAACCTCTGCATCAGCAGCTAATTCAGATTCTTCTTTTTTAATTGCATCAGAATGTATAAAATTATCATTTTTTTGTGTATCTATAAAATTCTCTTTCACACCTAGAGGATTATTCTCTTCCCCCTTTGCTGTGACAGTTTCTGCCGTCGTTATAAGATCATTTTTTATTAAAATATTTGATTGCTCATGAAAACTTTCATCCATGGTTTTTATTTCTTCTACTATTTTTTTTATTACTGGAGCAAAAGTGGCTAGTATATTATCAACAGACTTTTGTGTTTCCACTATTGGCTTTTCTGTAACAATTATGCGTTCGACTGGTATCGGTGGTTCTTGTCGCATATCATTTGCTTTTGGGTTTAAAGATTTGTCCAAATCACCCAAATCTGACACTTGACCCATTTGCGCTGAAAATTATTAATGTTGTCGCTATTACTATTACTACTGCTAATATTATTATCATTACTACTATTATTATCATCTAAATATTTTGCAAAAAAAAATTTTTTTCAGTACCCTTAACATTTGGAAGAATTTCAGGATTATTAGGAACATTTGCCATTGCATTAATATCATCTTTGTTCAAGTTTAGTGGTAAACTGTTAATTTGTATAGGTTTGTTTGTTGATATTAATGTCTTTGTATTAGTAGATTCTTCTAATGCATACAAGTTGGCATATGTACTCAGAATCATGATGCAGATACCAATGAATAAAATTACCTAAATGTAGATTGAAGAGAAAATATTAAAGACAAATAGTTAAGGAACAATATAATTTATTAGATTATTTCTTAATAATCTTACTTGTGCTAATAATCTTTCATTAGTATGTTTGCTGCTAATTGATATGAAAAATATTGCTGGAAATATCAAGCATATCATAACTCCAATAGTAGATCCCACTAAACCAAGAACAAATTCAATGCTTGGTATTAAAATGCCAGTAACCAGAGAAACAGTCACAATTATAATAGTAAGGCATCTAAACCTTGTTTCTGGTAAATAATTTACAGAAGGTTCATGAGCATATACCTGTAAGAAATATATATATAAACTGAAATAATATTATTTTATCACTACCATATATCTGTAACTAATACAAACCCTGCGAAATAAGAGAGAGTTTAAACTTGCACGGCATGGAAAAATGACTAGAGGAAAACTGAATGCAATGGAAAACACGAATCCCATCTTGATCATTTCAGATGACAAACTAGCCTCAAAGCTCATTAATATGTTGCCTAGAAATTTGATAATGAGTGAGTAAAATAAGTATAAAATATATGCAATTAAGATACAATAAATACCTGTAAATGGTTGTGTGCAAAATGCTATGTAGCCAAAGAAACCAACACATAAATATACAATAGTGCATATATTTAGTGCACCTTGTACAACTTCATTCATTTTTTCTAAAGACACATTTGGAATGGTTTCATAAATTTCAAATAATTGAGTTTGGCAAAATAAAGCCATAGAAAAAATAGGTATGCATTGAAGTATACCAGATGGTCTCCAATAATATACATATTCATACCAATCTCCAGCAAAAATGTGCTGCATAGATTCTGTTACAATCTAATAAGGAAGAAACACCTGATAAATTATCATTTTATTGCTTAAAGATTTTATCTAAAATAAAGCCAAAGGCAAATAATAATTTACCTTCAACACAAGACAAAGGTAAAAGATAATAGTAGCAGTACAAAGACTAGATAAACTGTCAATATTTCTAAGTAATCCTAAAGGTAAAACAATGAAAACACTTGTTGCTATGAGTAAACTGGTCCTGATGTCTTCTGGATTTTTATCTATCACTTTTCCCACAATTTGTGGTCCTAAATCACCCATAACAACAAAGAAAGCAATACACGTTCCCACAAGAAAACCGATGATAAACAGTTCCACCAAGAATTTGCCCATATGGCCAAATGCATGGAAAGCAAGAAGTTCAAAATTCCGTCGTCTTGACATAACAGCTGACTTGATGAGAAAGTGACAAGCAAGTCGAGATAAAATGCTGCTCAATATTAAGACCAAAGTAGCTAGAACAATGCCACATTGCTTGAAACAATATGGCATTGCCAACACACTTACTCCAATGATGCTGTTTGCAAGAGTCATCATATGTGACAATTGAGAAATCATTGCAATAATCGTTACTTAGCCTCTTAGTAAACTCAACTGATTTATTGTAATGATTGATCGTTTATGATCTTTTTAATGTTCTTGTTGATTTTTTAATCTTTTTTCCTCAAATAAAATTTTTCAACAAATAGCTACGTTAGGACATTTAATGGGTATTTTAAGATTTCATAACATACATAAATAATAATTGTTCATGCATTGTTTACAAATAGTACTAAAACATAAACTGTCTTAATTTTGAGGTTAGAATTATGATTCCATCAACTAATATCATTTGATCGACAGTATTACGTGTAAAACAAATAATGTAATTTGTTATCATATTGAACGTATCAAAATTGTGGTCCAATAAAACACATTTTTTATCACGACAGTTGGAAAAAACCATCGAGCGTTCTGTCGACCTCCTAAGACTACTACCATTTTGACTCGACAAAGCATGCTCCATTAATCCGCGTGACGAA